TGCGTGAATAATAATAAACAGTAATTAAATATAAATGTGTACTATTCATTGAATAGTACCTTGATTAGGGTTATGGCAAGCATGAACGAAATATATTATTTAAAATTGTGGCATTATAAAATTATTATATGGTGTGAACGCAACGTGAAGAAGGGGGTGCCCTCAAGTGAAAGGGCTACACGTACCCCAAAATTAAAGTCCAATTATTCCTTCCAACCCATAAGCTCTTCCTACATCAAACAAAATTCTTGAAAATATAATCCATGCACGCCCTCCTAAATTTAACTTATAATAAAAAATTAATTAAAAAATCCGTCATTCTGAAATTTATTACTCAAATATACCTAACATTTGTTGAAGGATCCATAATGCAACTAATTTTCAGCGAGTGTAAGTTTTTCTCAACTTTGTATACAAGCTATCTTTAATTATGTACAAAACAAAAAGCATTATTTATATATATAGGTTGAAAATATATGATACATAACCGAAAGAAATTTGCACAATAAGTTGCACCTGTTCAAGAATGAGTTTTTAAGTACTAATGTTTTAAGCAATACTACAAACATGATCTTATAATTAGGACAGGAGATAGTATTTAATCTGTAAACAAATCTTAACGTGTTGGTTGTTTTTTTTAATACACCTTCTAAAAGACACGTGTTTAGCCTTGTATTCTTCGTAGGTAGAGGTAGAAACTAGTTTTGGTAATCTTTGCAGTGATCCACGCTCTAAACTTATCATAATCATCCAGATCTGATTTGTATGGTTTAGATTTAATTTTTTTATTCTGATTTTTTAAAATAATTATTTTAACGAGTGTAAAATTTAAAATAAAGATAATCTCTTAAATATCATTCTGTTGAAAATAATTTTTATTTGAAAATAAGAATAAAAAAATAAATTTAAACCATTCAAATCAAATTTGAATGGTTTAGATATAATGAGTTTATAATTCTCATCACTCCAATGAGTAACAAAACTCGCTTGGATAAAAGTGTATCAAGCACCCCAATTTTATTTCTTAGGTAGATTTAGTATCTTGATCTTTTTGTAATGTATCCAGCACTCTGATATTATTTTTTAGTGTATTCAAAATCATAATCTTATTTTTAGTGTATCCAGCATCCTAAAAATCAGGGTGTGACTGAAAAAGTAATATCAGGGTGCTAGACATATAAAAAAATAAGAGTAGGATATTGGATGCACCATATAAAAGATCAGGGTGCTTGATATATACCTAGGGAATAAGATTATGGTGCTCTTTTTTTTTTTAATTATATCTGATTATCTGGTTAATATGGCCATATCATTTTTTTTTTCTCTTTCATGTCCCGCAATTGAACCTCCGAACTCAACCCTTCGTTCCTCGGTAAAATTTCTTTTGAATAAAATAAACCTAGGCGTAAATCTAGCAGTCTTTTTTGCCTGTGATCTCTCTCACATCGCGCTAGGGTCAAACGGAATCTAATTAATAATTATACAATCAAGGTGAATTAAAGCAATAATATATATAATTGCTTTAAATGGGTTTACCGTTTGGTATAAAGGAAATGGAAAGAAGGGGAGAAGAGGAAAAATTTTAATGAACCCGTTTTCAAAATGGAAGAAATACGGTTAAATTTTTTTGATTAATTTTAATTACTCTTTTGTTTTATATTTTCTCTTTGTCAAAATTTTATAACCCCACTTGTTCAATTTTTTAAACAAACTCATTAAGATTTTTTCTCCCCTTCTTTTCTCTCTATTTCCATCATGCCAAACAGACTCTACATGAGATTGAGAAATTTAGAATATCCTAATTAAGATAATATATATAAATATGTGTGTGTGTATATGAGATGTTGCGAGAGGGGCCACTAAAAAATGAGTAAAATAACACTCAACACTTTGATATTATTTTTCAGATGCAGTCATTATCTTGATGTTATTTGTGGCGCATCAAGCACCAGAATTTTTTTTTTTTATATCTAGTATCATAATCTTGTTCACAGTACATTTAGTATCTAACCTATAAATAAATTTTTTTTTTTTTTTGGTCAAAGAACCTATAAATAAAATTAAAATACTGAATATAACTAAAAACATAACATTAGGATATTGGTTGGGCATACGGGGAGGGGGGGGGGGAAAGAGTTTCGAATGCATTAGGATGATCGATATTACTTTACCCGGCTTTAGTTTCGAACCTAATGAAATGGTTTTTTGACTGTGTCTCTGAGAATTAAGCTACTGATCATTGGTGATCTGTTCTATGTCAGTGACGATGCCCCATAAAGTTCGTGAGGGCATTGATTACCAAAACTTTAGGTAGGTGATTCTTATTAACTCTCTAATATCATACTAGCTATTAGGGTTCCTTTAGAGGGTAGGGCTTTGGTAATAAACATTGGATTCTTTTCTAATTCTGCACGTGTTGGGATTGTAGAAACCTATGGATGGTGTGAGACAAAACCACGAATTTTAGGAATTTGTTGTGCGTGTGTGGAGACAAAATTATATCAATTTTTGATAGGGAGCTAGTGAAGACAAAAACATGAATCATTTAATTAATCTTTTATTTTTTTCCCGCTAAAACACATGTATCTTTCTATTGAAGATAATCCTATTCAAGACACTGTCGGGTACTAAATATGGACACCTCTTTTAATAGGAATTCCAACTTTAATTCCTCACAAATTAATTCGTCACTTTGTGAGGAACTAGTTCTTTTCACTAGACCCAATCTCTATTGGTATTAATCTTTTAACTTAAAAAGAAGTGTTATATGCGCGAGGGATGCAGATAGGCTCGGGACCAGAGTTTTGAAGGTTAATGACGAGCTGTAAAAGAACAAATTAAGCTAAAAAGATTAAATTGATCCAAGAACTGAATATAAAAAATAACATACAAGGCTAAGTATTTAAGTGATGATCTTTTTCTTAATTCTATTGAAATAAAATTTGATTCTTTATCTTATGTATGTAACAGGATTCATTTTATGCATCTACTTAAATTAATTGGTTGACTTGCGACTCTATGTGCATGAACCAAATTATGATTTGTAGATGGACGGAGTTATATATGCGTTGAAACAATTAGGAAAAAGAGTGATGATGAAATGATAACACATTTAGGGAGATTAATTTGGCATGTGAACACGATTGAGAGAACAACTGGCTTATAGGAATCAAACCGTTGGGCGTTTATTGACTTGCGATTAACAATAATAAAATGATTTCAACATGGGAGGAATAATCTGGGCATATGCTCTTCTTCTTCTCTCTCTCTCTCTCTCTCTGTATATATATATATATATCCATATCATATTCAAATCTCCCCCTGCATCCCTATCCCTACCATAACATAACCCGCCGGCAACGGGCTACCTCACTTCTCTCTCTCTGTCTCATCTCTCAAAGCTTCCTCTCCTTTGGACGAACCAGGTAACTCTCTCTCTCTCTCTCTCTCTCAATGTGCTCTTCTTCTACATACAGCACTTGGTTCTGGGCATTGACATGTAGCTTAGCTGGGTATGAAGGCTTCCCTGCAAATTAATTAGAAGATTGGGTACCCATTTGAAATATCTTATGAATAGCTTTTCAATCGTGATTTACAGAATACGAGATAAGTATGTGAGAAGAGTTTTATCTCGACTTACCTGAAATATGCTTATATATATTTTTAATCAGCATTCCAAATGAGCCTTGAGAGTTCAACCCTATTTGTAATTTTAAGTTGTTAGTACCTGTCTCTTTTAAGTTGAAAAACAAATAGAAAAGAATCCAATTTGCTGTGAAGTAGCTAGCTAGCTGACCAACGATAGTAACTATATGTGGGGCAAAAGAGGGAATAGGATATGAGTGGTACAAGATGTGTAAGAGTTTTTTTGGTTTTTTTTTTTTTTGGGGTGGGGGTAATCTAGATGGTGATGAGGCAGTGAAAACAATAGCTCACCAACAGTTAACCAAATTATTATTATTCCTCATGTTCTAAATATAAAACTTTTTTTGGTATAATTTATACTATAAAAATAGTCTTATATTTAGAATCGGAACAGTATTATTTTTCTCGATTCGCTAGTTGATAATGTTGACTTCTTCTTTCTGTTTCATTTTCCCCGCTCTCATCACTACCCGTTCTTGCTTTTCTTTGTTTCCTACCTTCTCGGCGACTTCATTTTCCACACTCTTGCTTCACATTCAATCATTCGAATAAACAAGAGTGATACTCTCTGATCTTATTCATAAAGGAGCTTTTTTTTATACAGTTTAAAAATTTTTAAATTACATTAAATTTTTTTATTAAAATAGAATAATTTTTAGCTTTATTTTTATTTAATATATATCTTAAAAAAATAATTATTTACACTATAGTAAATAAAGAATAAAATAATACATTATTGCTAAAAATTTAATGAAGTGATTTATAAAGACCATAAAAAAATTATTCCTCTATCTTATAGATAGGATCATAGGAGTATTAGTTTTTTTTTTATATTCCTTAATTCTTAAATATAAAACCCTTTTATATTTAAGAAAGGAAGAATCCCATCTTTATTCAGATAACTCCTTTGAAGACAAAATGGTCAATTTACAGAAATATAAAATTATGGTATATAGCCGAACCAACGACGTACAAACGCAAGGAAAAGTTAGACACAGGAGTATAGGACCATCATATGTTGCTGTTTATGTCAAAGTCTTCCCTTCAATAATGTGAAAAACAAGCCCGCCGTGAACAAGTTGGCTTCACACTAACAACAACATCAATGGCATCTTCTTTCTTCTATCCTAACAAGAGAAATAAAACAAAAGAGAGGGAGAAATTTTTTTAATAAGTTCAATTTAAAAAAATTAAAATAGTAGGGCTGTAAAATTCTAATAAAAAATATAAATAAAATAATAATAAAACTTAACTAAAAACTTTCAACTCTATTTTTTTTAAGTAGGGTTAGTTAAAAAATTTTTTTCCCTCCTCTCTGTTTCCTCCATTTTCCTCTACCAAAAGGGATTCGTTTGTGAAATTGCAGTAGCCATAAGTATACATTTGTCCCTTTTCACAGAGATCTTTAATTGACGCGCAACCCTTCGTTACCGTGTCAGGATTGTTGAGGATTCAATAGCAGTCTCGTGGTCATGGCGAGGGAACAGGCGAGTGTGCTGAACGCGCTCGATGTGGCCAAGACGCAATGGTACCACTTCACCGCCATCGTCATCGCCGGCATGGGTTTCTTCACCGACGCTTACGATCTCTTCAGCATCGCCAACGTCACCAAGTTGTTGGGACGTATCTACTACACCCATCCAGGCTCCGACAAGACCGGCAGTTTGCCGCCGAGAGTGTCGATGGCCGTTAACGGCGTGGCTCTCTGTGGAACGTTGGCTGGTCAGGTTTTCTTTGGGTGGCTCGGCGACAAGTTGGGGAGGAAGAAGGTGTACGGGATGACCCTCGCTCTTATGGTTATTGCCTCGCTGGCTTCTGGTCTGTCTTTTGGTGACACCCCAAAAGGCGTCATCTCCACTCTCTGTTTCTTCCGATTCTGGCTTGGCTTCGGAATCGGTGGCGACTACCCTCTCTCCGCCACCATCATGTCGGAATACGCCAACAAGAAGACTCGTGGAGCGTTTATTGCCGCCGTCTTCGCTATGCAAGGTTGGTTTTCCTATGACCACGTACTGAATTACTCGCCTTCATTTGCTTTAAACAATTAAACAGATACTCATGTAGCATGTTTCAAAGCGTTTTCGAAAATGCTATTTACGATTACGATTCTTCAGGGTTCGGAATTTTGGTTGGAGGAATTGTTGCTCTGATCGTCTCCACGGCGTTCGATCACGCGTACAAGGCTCCGCCGTACAATGTGAACGCAGCCGCTTCTCTTCCAAAGCAAGCCGACTACGTTTGGCGCATAATTCTGATGTTCGGAGCTGTGCCGGCGGCCATGACGTTCTACTCGCGAGCGAAGATGCCGGAAACGGCCAGGTACACCGCTCTTGTGGCCAGGAACGCAAAACAAGCAGCAGCCGATATGTCGAAGGTCCTCCAAGTCGAACTCCAAGCCGACGAGCCGACAAAATCAACCGAAAGAGGCAGCAACAACAGCTTCGGTTTGTTTAGCAAGGCATTCGCTCGCAGACATGGCCTCCACTTGCTCGGAACATGTGCCACCTGGTTCCTACTTGATATTGCTTTCTACAGTTCGAATCTTTTCCAGAAAGATATTTATACGGCAGTGGGATGGATTCCTCCGGCGGCTGAAATGAACGCTATCCATGAAGTCTACAGGGTGGCAAGAGCACAAGTACTGATTGCGCTGTGCGGCACCGTGCCGGGATACTGGTTCACGGTGGCCTTCATAGACATATTGGGACGATTCTTCATCCAGCTGATGGGTTTCTTCTTCATGACCGTCTTCATGTTGGCGCTCGCAATTCCCTACGATCACTGGACCAAGAAGGAGAACAGGGTTGGGTTCCTTGTGATGTACGCACTGACCTTCTTCTTCGCCAACTTCGGTCCTAACGCCACCACTTTCATCGTGCCAGCCGAGATCTTCCCGGCGAGGCTGCGGTCCACTTGCCACGGGTTGTCAGCGGCTGCCGGAAAGGCCGGAGCGATCGTCGGCGCGTTCGGGTTCTTGTATGCAGCACAGAGTAAAGATCCAAAGAAGACTGATGCAGGGTACCCACCTGGGATTGGGATGAAGAATGCTCTGATCATGCTTGCCGTCATTAACTTTGTGGGGATGTTGTTCACGTTCTTGGTTCCCGAGGCTAAGGGAAAATCTCTGGAAGAGATGAGCAGAGAGAACGAGGAAGAAGAAGATGATGCAGCAACCACGGCTTCAAGAACTATTAATCCAGTCTGATCATATGTGAATTCAATTAGCGATATGAAATGTTTTCTCTATCAAGGTAAGTGAAGAAAGTGAAGGTGTGTGCGCCTGCAAGTATATAAGCTTGGATGATATCACAGGATCGAAATTAGTGGCAAAAGTATAAGAGAAATTCAGTTTTTTTGGGGTATACTTTGGTTATATATGTGATTCCAAGTAGAATCAAATTTCAAATTAAAGATTATTGTAAGAAAACGTATTACTTTGTTTAATCTTGATTTTCTAATAGAGGGAGGTTTGTTTATATATTCTTGAGCTTCTAGGCCAAAGGCAAAGGCCAATATAACATGCGAGTGCTTTTTTGGGTGATATATTTACATTTACGTGTTTTGATTGCATTGACTGAATGGTAAATTTGAAATTATTCTTCCCATTATAAATATAAGACTTATTTTATAATATTCAAAGCATTAATTTCATAAGAGGAATTATTGAAAAATTGTATAAAAGGAATATGATGACTTTAGGGATATGACAATATCGATGGGTCATATGACTTGCCAGCTGGTTCGGGAAATCTAATATTTGACCATAACTGAAATCTTTTTAATGTGAAAATAGAGAAATAAATAAATAAATTCAATCTTCAATATTTTTTGATAGAAAGGCAAAATAATATACTCCTCCGATCATTAATATATGACCTAATTATTGAGTTAGTTTTGATTTTAAATATAAGACATATTTCTCATATTTATTAATTTTTTCTAAATTATCTCTATGGATACTTCTTCAATCATAATCAAGTAGAAGAAGGAAGGATGATATTAAAAAAGATGATTATGACGTTTAAAAAAAAAGTCATATTTCTTATAATTAATCAACTTACCTAACTTCATTAATTTAATTAAATTAGTTAAATAGATCTTATATTAAAGACTGGAGGAGTACTAAATAATAATAGAGGTTTTACAGTACTACAAATGAAATTGGAAAAATAAAAAGGAAGACACATCAGAAGAAAAAGAAGAAGCATGAATAACCCTAACAACTATGGAAAAAAAGTGGCAAAGCAACTTTGAGATACCTCTATCTAGAATAATAACTTTAGAAGATGCGACTTTAGATGAGAAATATATTGAGGGCAGGGCAGTCTAACTGCTAATAACTTGTAACTCAAATTTTCAGCACTAATGGTATGATGTCAGTAGAATCAAACTCGTGAGATCTTTTATAAAGTAGCTTTCACGCTAGCTGCCAGATTACAATGTCGACTGGGAGACTGTAGGGGTGATGGCAAAATTACAAAAAGGGTTTGAAGATAAGAATAGTGAGTATTCACGTGGTGCTTTCATTGTGCCATGAACTTGAAATTAAAATAAATTTAATACTCCTTCGATTCTCAATATAAAACCTATTTAATTAATTTGATTAGATTAAGGAAGTTTGGTAAGTTAGTTACTTATAAGAAATTTGACATGTTTTTCCTAAAACACCATAATTATCTTCTTTAATATCGTCCCTCATTCTTTTACTTGATTGTGGTTGAGGGAGTATCCATAGGGATAATTAAAAAGAAATGATAAATATGAGAAGTAAGTCTTATATTTAGGATCAAAATTAACTTAACAATTAGGTCTTATATTAAGAACTAGGGGAATATATTCATATAGGGGCCTAAAAAAACCATTAACCGGCATTACACAGGATCCACCAATTTAATTATACCTTGATCGCGGCACGTTCACATGATTACACCAGGAAAAAAACTTAGGTCAAGTTCATTCTCTAATCATATATGGTTATGTCTCATTTGGATGATCCTGATTTAATTTTCTTTTTATTTTTACTTGTTCAAAATAGTTATTCTAATATGTATAAAATCTAAAATAAAGATAATCTCTTAACTATCATTCTTTCAAAAAATAGATCTTTTTATTTAAAATTAATTATTTAAATTTAAATCATTCAAATCAAATATAGACAGTCCAAATCTAATAAGTTTAAAATAGTCATCAAGATAATAAGTACCAAAACTGATTTTTGTCTAGTCTTGTTTGTGATCGCTTGCCCATGACTTCTGGCTCACACTATTTTTTTTCCCCGTCATCTCGCGTATTCAGCCAAATTTCTGATGCGACTAACTAGGGAGGCGTGTAGAAAATTGAACGCATCTTTTCCCATTGTTGTTTTCTGTTTAATTCTTTGATCCAGTTATGTGATTTCATTACTAATATATATTGCACACTAGTAAAAGGGAAAAAAAGAAAATTTACAGTGGGACTTTTACCGGTGGCATTTTCGCAAAAAAAAAAAAAAATATCCCATCTCTTAAATTTTCCAATTCTATTTGGTGAAATATTTAATCTATACATAGTTTTATGTAAAGGATTATAATTTGCCAATGATGAACTGCTATGGCCGTCCACTTTCCCAGCCTTCTTCTGGCTAGAATTTTTAAATATTTTTATTTTTAATAATAAATAATATCCGTTGACTCAATTATTATTTTAATTTCGTTTCGTATTTTTAGCATTCTTTCATCTCTTGCATAAAAAATATTAACCTTTAGAAATGCCAGTTTCTTTTCAAAAATCATTTATAATGTGTGACATGTATATGTAGCCATTCTGTAATACGAGCTAATATATATATATAGGGTTGAAAAACACTTATAAAATTTAGACAAAACTTTTAAATTATGATTAAAAATTTACTTAAACTATTCCAAACTGCGGATACACTGCAAAGAGAAAAATTTAACTGCTAATTAAATTTTGAGTTCACGTAATAATCAGACTGGATTAACAGTTCTTGAAGCCGTGGTTGCTGGATCATCACCTTCTTCTTCCTCGTTCTCCCTGCTCATCTCTTCCAACGATTTCCCCTTTGCTTCTGGAACCAAGAACGTGAACAACATCCCCACAAAGTTAATGACGGCCAGCATGATCAGAGAATTCTTCATCCCAATCCCAGGTGGGTACCCTGCATCAGTCTTCTTTGGATCTTTACTCTGTGCTGCATACAAGAACCCGAACGCGCCGACGATCGCTCCGGCCTTTCCAGCAGCCGCTGACAGCCCGTGGCAAGTCGAACGCAGCCTCGCCGGGAAGATCTCGGCTGGCACGATGAAAGTGGTGGCGTTAGGACCGAAGTTGGCGAAGAAGAAGGTCAGTGCGTACATCACAAGGAACCCAACCCTGTTCTCCTTCTTGGTCCAGTGATCGTAGGGAATTGCGAGCGCCAACATGAAGACGGTCATGAAGAAGAAACCCATCAGCTGGATGAAGAATCGTCCCAATATGTCTATGAAGGCCACCGTGAACCAGTATCCCGGCACGGTGCCGCACAGCGCGATCAGTACTTGTGCTCTTGCCACCCGGTAAACTTCATGGATGGCGTTCATTTCAGCCGCCGCAGGAAGCCATCCCACTGCCGTATAAATATCTTTCTGAAAAAGATTCGAACTGTAATATGCAATATCGAGTAAGAACCAGGTGGAGCATGTTCCGAGCAAGTGGAGGCCATGCCTGCGAGCGAATTCCTTACTGAACAAACCGAAGCTGTTGTTGCTGGCTCTTTCGAATGATTTTGTCGGCTCGTCGGCTTGGAGTTCGACTTGGAGGACCTTCGACATATCGAGAGCTGCTTGTTTTGCGTTCCTGGCCACCAGAGCGGTGTACCTAGCCGTCTCGGGCATCTTCGCTCGCGAGTAGAACGTCATGGCCGCCGGCACAGCTCCGAACATCAGAATTATGCGCCAAACGTAGTCGGCTTGCTTTGGAAGAGAAGCTGCTGCGTTCACCTTGTACGGCGGAGCCTTGTACGCGTGATCGAACGCCGTGGAGACGATCAGAGAAACAATTCCCCCGACCAAAATCCCGAACCCTGAAGAATCGTGAAGAACGTCTTCAAAATAGGCTTAATGGATTGCTATTAATCTACAGTGATTAATTGATTGTTTAGAGGAAATATTCAGACGAGTAATTCAGTGGTCAGAGTAAGACCAACCTTGCATGGCGAAGACGGCGGCAATAAACGCTCCACGAGTCTTCTTGTTGGCGTACTCCGACATGATGGTGGCGGAGAGAGGGTAGTCGCCGCCGATTCCGAAGCCGAGCCAGAATCGGAAGAAGCAGAGGGTGGAGATGACACCTTTTGGGGTGTTACCGAAAGAGAGACCGGAAGCCAGCGAGGAAATGACCATAAGGGCGAGGGTTATCCCGTACACCTTCTTCCTCCCCAGCTTGTCGCCGAGCCATCCAAAGAACACCTGACCGGCCAAGGTCCCACAGAGAGCCACGCCGTTGACGGCCATGGACACGTTCGGCGGCAAACTGCCGGGCTTGTCGGAGCCTGGATGGGTGTAGTAGATGCGTCCCAACAACTTGGTAACGTTGGCGATGCTGAAGAGATCGTAAGCATCGGTGAAGAAGCCCATGCCGGCGATGACGATGGCGGTGAAGTGGTACCATTGCGTCTTGGCCACATCGAGCGCGTTCAGCACACTCGTCTGTTCCCTCGCCATAACTACCACACTGCTACTGAATCTATCCTTAACAATCCTGACACAGTTACGAGGAGTTGTATGTGTCTCAATATAATATATATATATATATATATATATATATATATAAGTAAAGTATTACTTAAAACGCTAAGAAAAGAAGGAAGATGCCAGTGATCTTGCCGGTTGTTTCAAGCCAACTTCGGTGTGGCGGGCTTGATTTTTTAGGCCGAGACTTTGACGTAAACAGCCAGATCATGGCCACCATTTTTTCTCCAACCACCATAAGAGTTAATTCAATTTTTAATTTGATATTAAATATAAGATCCAAATCCATTTTGTTTCTCATATTTATCTTTTATTTTTTTAAGATAGTCATCGTAGTATTGCACATGTTAAAGGTCTTATCAAATGACAGTTCTAGTTCATACACATAATTAATGAGGATATTTTAAGTATTACAAAAAAACTAACTTACTAATTCTATCTTAATCTATTTAAATTAGTTAACTATTAATCAAGGAAGGGAGCTAGTATTAATTTTCCATGCGTTTGCGTCATGGATTCTCCTGTAAATCATATTTTTATATTTCTGTGGATTGACCATAATATAAAGACTACATAAAAAGAAAAACTCATTCATCTTTACAGTGTGTGAATTGAAAAGGATGCGGAGAGTGAAGTCAAGAAGAAGGTGGAAAACAGAAAAGTCAGAAGAGTTGTGCGGGAGTAGTGAGAGGGACATGAAAGTGAAAGAGAAAGGAGTAGTCAACATTATCAGCTAGCGGAGGATAG